CTTTCGACCAAAGCGTGTCCAACAAATTAGAAAGCCAGAAAAAAAAATTTTTTTTAAATAAAAAAAACCGACATTGACTCCAACTTGGCCACGTGCTGTGCCCTGCTTGTTTTTCCAGTCCAAATCCAAGGTAAATTTTCCCAAAACAAACACCAAAGACGCAGCATCGCCCAAAAAAAAACAACAACAACAAAAGGGGGAAAAACAATTGAATTTTCCGGGAGGGGGAAAAACCACCGCCAGTGAAATTCGGTCAATATTTGTGCGAGTGTGCGTGAAAGTGGGAAATTTTTTGGCATTTTTATGCTGCTCCTTGTGTGCGCAAAAATAAAGAAAAATCCAATGGCAAAGCGAATAGGGAAAAATCTGTGTCAGTCACGAATTACGCACTATCTCACTGGGAATTTGGTACCCCTTGGGTTTTGTGAATGAATAATCAAAGTGCTTGCACATATTTTAAAACCGATTTGCGCCTGTGCAAATCTTTATTAAATTCCGAGTGGTGTTTTCACTAATGACAACACCATTAATTGCTGCCAGACACGACCGTCATTTAGCTGCACAGAGAGAAACTGGGAGATTAAATACGAATTTCTTAAAAAATATAATAACTTATTAGAATAAGGAAAGGTTTAATATTTTTTAAAAGAATATCAGGCTGTATTTAAAGTGAAAATGGTAAATTAGTATACCTATTAATAAACAATCTTAGTTCTTGGGTTTTTTTTTATTTAGTTTACTTCAAGACAATATGTCATTAAAAGGTATACGAAACATTGTAAATAAAGAAAAAAATCCAAAACTATTAATAATAAAGAATTTTAGATTTAGATTCCGTTACTGGTGATATATAAAAAAATATATACCATTTTTAAGTAACAAAAGGCACGGCTTTTTTAAAAAAATACAATAAAATAATAGATAAATTTCCGATTTAGATTCCAAAACTGATGAAAAATAGTAATTTATATAGCATTTCAAGTAAAAAAGGCACATTTTTTAAGCAATACAATACGCTACAAATGGTTATAGAGAAATTATTAATTTAAATATCAGAACTGGTGAAAAATAATAATTTATATTCGATTTTCAAGTAATAAAGGCACTGCTTAAATATCAGTGGTTGAGGTTGGTTCTTGTATTTTTCAAGAAATCAAAGCCATATGGGTCAGAAGTATGCCACCTGGCTGAATAAATCAAAAGGGGATGGCAACAAGCCGCGGGGGGTAGATGTTGCACATTACGTGAGTTTTTACCAAGACTATACGTTACGCATACGCCATGTGGACCCCCCAAAGGCTGCCAACAGTGCGTCGCGTAATAAATCGCACGACAATAACTCATGGTACACATGAGAAGGGGGTGGAAAAGGCGGGTTTTTGGGCCAAAAGAAGGGGTAAAGAGAGAGAATAAGGCCGGGTTGTGACCAGGAAAGTCGCAAACTGAAAGCTATTAAGGCAAAAGACTTAAAGACTTTTTGCTACCCAGCTCCGGAGACTTTCTTCCCCTTCATTTTCCCATCCTTGCCAAAACACACCCACACACGCATCCGCTTCCTGCCACAAGGAAAAACAACGAAAACTCACTTAGCTGGCCTGCCTCAGCCTCTCTTTTAGCCAGACTCACTTGACATGCTCTTAATACCAAATAAAAACAAGAGCTCAAGGACGTTGAGGAAACACTCCGTTCCACTTTTGCACTGCAAGTAAGGCCACCTCCTGCTCAGCCACCCCGTCATGTGTAAATTTTTAATGTTGCCAAGACCCCCAAATGTAGGTTATCAAATTGTGTTCAAGTTGTCTTCGCCAAAAGCCCCCGGAGAAAAAGTTTTACAGGCGCCCCACCGCTGCTGAAAAACATTTTAAATGATTTTGTTGTCGGCTCTCGGTTCTTTTTTTTTCACATTTCCATCTCTTGTGACCCCTCTGCCAATTGGGTCAAGCATTTACATTTCACGCCTAGCGAAAAACTCAGCCGGAACTACACTACACGCCCCATTCGCAATGTTAAACACGATCTGAATCGCCTGGCGGTAGCTGCATCTATTTAGCCAAATTAAAAACACAAATTCAACTGCGCTCTGCCGGCTGCCACTAATTAATTGCAAACTAAATGAGTTTCTCGGCATAAAACTTTATCCACAGCAAAGCTGATTGCTGTCAGTTTTGTGGCTGAAACAGAAGGGAAGTGCTGGCACTGTAGATTGCAGCGAAATCGCTTGGCAAACAAGCCGAGGGGACGGAGGTGGTCTGTGTGGCTACCCTTTTCTGGAGGAGCGGCCCTTGCACAATTTGTAATTTGCGTTGCTCACACACACTCCCCTCGCTCCATCGAAGTTTTCGGGCCGAGAAAGGAGGCAACCCGGCGAGTCATGCAGGAAATGTGGGCTTAAAGATAGGGCAAAGGGGCCAACGTACTGTATTAGTTCATGTCTTGAGAATGGAACCGTTTTAGAACATGGTAGAAAAAATGATTGAACAAACGTTTTTCAAATATTATAAAGATGCAAAATTAAAACACGAAAGAACTCTGTAGTCGACTGCCTCAACTATTAGACACCCGTAACTCAGCTAAAGGAAGTACGAGCGAGATGGAGATAGGCATGCAACAAATCGGGTTTCCTAGATTTCACACGTTTTTTGCTCATAACATTTTAATGAATGGTCCGATTTGAACAATATTTTGTATGTAGATGGGTATAGTTAATCAGAACAGAATTTAAAATATTTGAAAATGTGTGCGCTAGACAGGTTTTACCATTATGGGCGTGGCATACTCTACGAATGAGGGGTATACAAATATGCGATATGCATATTCATTTAAATTAAATTTTATATGAATAGAGTTGAGAGGTTCCATAACAAAAATAAGATAATAACCCGATATAAATGTGTGTGCTTAATCGGTGAATAAAATGGATAAAATATGATTAACATTTTTATAAAGTTCAATATAAAATCTATCTAGATACGATCGTATCACATCGATATGTTGGCCATCTTGAATTTGGCTTTCCTTTTCTATTTCGGAGAGTTTTGCTGTCCTGCTCTAATCCGGAATAATTTTGGGCGCCAATTCATTTTTTTAATTCTTTTTAGATGTGTGAGAATTTTCAAGGAGAGTAAAATGATATATAATGAATTTACCCAGCGAATATCAAATTATTTCTTTTGTGTTTTGTTTTCGGTGTAGATCTTGGAGATTCAAAACTTATTATTAACCCCAAATATAGTACGTTCTATATCTTAAGCCAAGGCTTCAAAAACTTTAAAATGTTAAAAAAAGATATCAGATTGCTGTTTTCTCTTTATGAATCACCATGGCTATGAGTCACACCGTTGGATACGCAGAGGCAAATGAAGTTAGCCTTTCGGAAATAAAGTCTTCGCCTGCTGGTAATCCAATTGAACGGTGGCAAGCGGAAGGCGTCCGTGCCCAGCTCAAATGGCCAGGACCTTAATGACCGCTGTCAGGATGGCCAGGACGACCAGTCAGTCATCTCATTTGACTGGCCAGTGAGCCATTAAATTCCTCTTGGCGTGTGCGGTGTATTTGATTTCGACGACTGCCCGCGGCGTGAATCTGTTAATTCAACTTATTAATTTTCATTGAATTTTCCCCGCTTGCCAATGTCAATTGTCACCGAGTTGTGGCGCCCATCGGGGGGCCGCCCCTTTTGACATTATGGCCCATTTGGGGGCGGGGCTCGGTGGTCTGTGGTTAGTGTAATCAAGTCTGTTCGAATTATTTTGCTCAGCACAAATACTGCATTAATTTGCATGCATTTCGAATGCCAATTTTCAATCAATATGCCAAAGCTTATTGTACAGTTGCTTGGCAAATTCATTTAAATACTTCCCTGCTCAAGTTTTTGATTTATTTTAATTTGAATCGAATCCCAGGCTCCGGTGTATCGAATAAAAAATTGATAAATATATTTATTGTATCAAAGATATTGGGGCAATAAATTCCAAATATTTTGCCTGATATTTGGAGAGCGTAAGCCACAAACGCACACATGGGACCCTAATAAAAACCAATTTATGAAGCATACTTCTCAGGGCAATCGCCCCATCTCATCCAACTTGGATGGCTTAGGACACACATTGAAAGCCCTAGAGTTTAATTGAATGCGAAGGCAACTGCATAAGCAGCGTCACCAGCAGGCCACAAATCAAATCAGTTGGGCGAAAACAGGTCAAGTGCTTAGCCTTAACTCGTAGATGGCTAAAAACTGGGGGGGGATTCGGGAGCAAGATGCTCCTGGACAAAGGGAAAGCACTTAGTTGGCCAACAGCAACACGCTCCTTTGACTCGTGATATGTGTGTACCCAAACATTCGTCTGCTGACTTGCAGTTGAGTGCACATAATCGGTAGCTGGCTTTGAGTTCGGAATAGGAAGTTGAGAAACCAGGAAACTCTACGAAAATGCTTTCAAAGCACCCACTACCCACTTTCCACTTGACGAGTCCCCTGGGCGGCGGCTAATTTGCTCAGCTTCGACACAAATTGTAACTAATTTTAGGTGCTCAACTTTCTGCTTTCATTGCAATGCAAATTGCCGGACAACCTGGTCAAACTTAAAGCCCCCCAAAAGTTAAGTTATAAAAACGCAGTACGGGCTGAATGGTTCGAAAGTTGACAAGCGATTTTCCACAGCGAAACTATGTCGAAGGCAGACTTCGGAGAAAAGTGGAAGTTTGACAAGCGTTGCGACAGGCAAAACTTTCTAAGCGGAAAATGGTGTCTTCCCTACACAAAGGCAAATGTCTAAAGCATATGGAAATGAAAAATTTATAATAAAGTTGAAAAGTGCCCTTATACTTAAACAAAATGAAGGAATCCTAAGGGTTAATACCCTTATTATTCCTTCATTTTGTTTAATACCCTTATTTAAAGATAATTAGGCATATTTGCATATTGTAATAATACTCATAAATCAAATGAATAGAAAAATGGATAGCCTTTAAAATATTTTATCTTAGTTAAAGTTAGTTTTTCCAATCTAAGTAATTTTATTGCATTTCATTTGTGAATTTTGCCCCAAAACTGTGAAATAGTGCTGGCGTTGTTGGCCTCGTACAGGTGGTTCAACTTCCTGAGCAGCTTCTCCTGCTTGACCTCTTCCTTGCGCACCTGTACCTTCTGGTGGTGATCGTTGAGGTTCCTCAATCGTTTTGAGATCGCCATCGTCCGCTTCCTTACATGTTCGTCCATGTCGCGAGTGATACGATCCTGGGCCTCCTGCCAACTTCGGGTGGCCTGTCGGTGGTGGCGATCGGTGATCAGCGCCACTCGCGCCAAACGGACGGACAGCTGCTCCACCTTCTGTTCACCCAGCCAACTGCGCCGCTCCTCCGCCGCCCCCAAGCGCTGCTCCTGGGGGCGTGGCGGATAAGGACGGTACTTCCGGTGCAGACCGCTGGGTGGTTCACTCCTCACAGGATCCTCGAGGTGCACATAAAACACCGATTGGCCGGCCCCACGCGAGTCAATGGGATTGCTCATAATTTGGAAAAGTATATCGATTAATTTTTTGCCAAGGCCCAAAAGTTGAATGACCAAAAAACCTAAGCTAACTAAGTCTTAAAAAAATATGTATGGGGACCTTATTTAGTGATTTAGCAATCAGAACATAAACTAGGGATTTAAAAGTAGAGACCAATTAGTACTTTGTACTGTACAAATAGATGTATTGTAATATTTACCAGTTTTAACAACTTAAAAATATTTGTATACCCATCCAGGGTGTATTATAATTTTACTTTCCCACCCTATAAAGTATATACCATATATAAGAAATATGAATATTCGCAAATCCTTTTTTTTATTGTCATCCTTTATCAGATTAAAAGTGATTGCAAATCGGACGATCATATCCTATAGCTTCCATTACAATTACCAGTTAAATTAATCAATTATTATATATATGGAAGGGGTATTTAAATTTATACCGGCTTTAAACCACTGAATAAATTAATTCAAGGAATGAAGTACAAGCTAAAAGTGGACTTGCAGGATCAAATTATATATTAGCATACTTATAAGAACATTTTACTCGGTAACATTAAATATTACCTCACTTTTTGAATAATCCTTCATTAAAATTAACAAATCCTGAAAGTTGGCCGCAATAGTTTCCAATTCAGGAAAGTACCGAGGTTCATATTAAAACAGACGACTTAAAAGGCATGTTAGCAGTATATTGGGTAGTTAAGAGGACCTCATCTATCTGCGGCCTGTCCGTGTCTGTGTGTGGAGCATAAATACCCATTCAGTTGGCCAACAACAGCGCAACCCCGCCAAACTTCATCTGTGCTCGTGGCACGGATGTAACGCAAAAGTTGCTTGTTATTATTATGATTAAAGTTTGTGCTGCTAGTGTGGCCCACGCCGCATTGGTGTGGCTGCCACGCCCCCAAACCACCTGGCAGCGCCTCTTTATTTTACCACCTGACTCTGTTGCTTTAATATAAATGTTTGTGGTTTCGTCGTCAAGGTGCTTTGGAATCGGCTTTAAGCATGGGGTCGGTCGCTTCTGTTGGCCAAAGCCGAGCATATATGTACAGTGTACACACATAGGTGCTCTATCGCTCGACCCCAAGCATCCATTCGGATCATGGGTTTCCGGGCGAGATTGTAAGAAAAAACATGAAGCCGAAACATGACCGCAACATATTTTCCTGGTCATCCTTTGTTGTAGTTGGTCTTAAAGCGGATTAAACTTAAAGTATTTGCGTGGCATAGGGCTGGTTTTTGGGGGTTCAAGCTGGTAGAGTTATAAATATAGGCTAAAAAAAGAGGAGCTTTATGAATATTTGCTAATGGACTTCTTTTATAACGAAAAATCTGATGGATAGCTGTTGAAAATGGGTTTCTATTATTCACAGCATACTTTTATAAGTAATTTTGAAACTCCAGTGGTTTCTGTGGTGCACCATTATACCATTTACTTACCCCCAAGTGTACTTTGCCTTTTATTTCTGTTACGATTTCAAAACTGCATGTAATGACTTAGTTTTTGGTCAAATGGAAAAGTGCATGTCATGTCACCTTTGGTTTCCAAACAGTTAAAGTTACGAGTACCTTGTGGGGTGGTTTTGGGCCCGGTGTCACATGCTTCAAGCCCAGTTAACAGCTGTCACTCCGCCCCTCAGAGACTCCGAGTTGCGAGCTGTAATTTAACTTTTGCCTTAGGAACAGCTGGCTGAACAGACAACTGCAGCAGGAGAACTGCGAAGTGCAAACTGCGAACTGAGCGTTGACATGCAACGGCCACAAAAAAAAAAGAAAAAGGAAAAACAAGTTCAAATGGAGGTTTATGGCTGGCGTTGGCCTACATGCAAACAACTAAGCCCGCCAGGGATTCAAACCCAAAGCTCTCAGTTTTTATGACCATTTCGTGGATAGACCCAAATTAGTTGGGCTACAGAAAAAATCGTTGCATACCCAAAGGCGCCGACTGAAAATTCTTCTTTTTTGTTTATTTACAGGACAACTCGTAATTGAATGGGAGTTTGAAGCGCGAGGAACTCAGAGGGACAGCCAGCTTAGCGTACGTATTCACCCGATCTCCACGTTTCTAGGGCTTAGCACAGAGAGTTCTTTGGGGGTTACGCATAAATCTTTATCCGGAATGAATCAACAGAATGCTAAGTTAGAAACTTTAAGACAGGAGCACATTTATTAAAAAAGAAACAACGGGATAGAGTTTTTAGTGGTTTGCAGTCAAATTAACAGCAATTTATAACTAACCCTAGAAATATCTCATATCTGGGTGTTGAAATCATTAAAAAGGTGTCTAAAAGTATGCAACAAGTAAAAAGTTCCCTTAGTTTTGGTATTGGAAATGATATTTTTGTATATTTTTTAAATATATGTTAACTTTTATTTTGGTTGTAACCATATTTATATTTTAAGTCCGGAAGTTCAATGGTTTTATTCTAAAAAAATACTTGTTTTTTATGTTGCATACTTTAAGACACCTTTATTCACCGGTTAAGGTGTGAATTTTTGGGTTTTTGTTTCGAGTTGGCTTAAAAGCGTTCCAAGATCCAATAAACTTCAACGAACTTAAACTAATTTTGTTTTATTTTTTTCTCTGTGTAGTTCTACATAAGTCAGAATGTTTGAGCGTCGATTAGTTCAGATTGGTGGCAGTTGAAGCGCCAAGAAGAGGGAGAGCACAGGAACGTCCTTCCCGCCCACTCGCACGCCCCTTTTTTGGTCGGTGGGCCAGTGTGTGTGTGCGCGTGTGTGTGTTAGCCACAGTGGTGCGTCAGTGTGTGTGCGATAGGTGCCCGCGTTGGTGGTGGTTAGCATGCAAATCAACGGTCTAGCTGCCGGACCCACGATGGCAGCCTCCGAGCCACCAGAGCCGCCGCCGCGCAACCCGGACCGCATAAACGCCTCGCTGCACAAGCTGGGTGAATCCGTAAGTACAATCCGTATGCACCACCCCCGCCCCCGCCCCCCTCCTCTGTCAGCCCCTTCCAGATACTCTTTCGAACCCCAACCATCCGCACCACCAATAAAAACGAAAACTCACTTGATGTTTAACCTAATTGGGCCTCATTCATTGCTTGCGAACAGATTGCATGCCCCAGGGGCCGCAAAGGCCCCATTGACCCACCTCACCACACTCCACTCCCCACTTTTTTGGCGCACCACTTCATCTTGCTCCACTGCTCTCGAGCAAAAACAAACTGAAATCTCGATAAAATTACCCATTCTGCATTCCTCATTGACTAATTGACATCTTTGGGCTGTACATATGTATCTCTCTTTTGCTGTTCACCCCTTGCTATCTGAGTTTTGCTACTGTTAGGCTTACCATATCTATGCATTTTCCTGATTTTCCAAGAATTATTCGAGCCAAGAGCTGTTAATTTTAAAATGAATTTAAGTCTTTAAGTTATAGTAAACATTAAATCGGATAAATTTTAAAGAGCTAAACTATAAGTTCTAGTGCTTCCACAAATAACCATTAAGGTTTGGATGACTCTGAATAAATCCTAAATTAAAACAAATAATTGGCAATATCTATGGCTTTAAAACTCTGGAATGTATTTATAAATTAAGAAAGAATTTTGCAAAGTGGGCTTGGCATGGACACACGATATTTCTCCTTTTTCTAAGATTATATTTTCTCTCCTACGTGTTTAACTTAGTTTTCGAATAATTTTAGTAAAGCTTCATTGCATTTAAACCTTTGCAGAAAATCGCCAAGTCCCTGGACACTACGGTGACGACGGGTCTGAAGGAGAAATCGGCTTCCGTGAACAACAACAAGCCCATAAGACCGCTGTTATCGCTGGACAGCTCGGTGACGGCTTCGACATCCTCGGGGGCCGCAGCAGGAGCAACAGGAGTTGCAGGATCGGGATCGGGGGGCGGAGGAGCGCCAGCCAAGCCGGCGCCTCTGGTGCTGACCTCCAAGCGAGACCTCACGCCCAGCAACGACAGCAGCTCCTCGCCGTCCAGTTCGAATGGCAGCAACCAGACGCTCACCCCACCCATGACCGCTGATAGCCAGCAGTTGCAGCACCTCCAGCACAGGAGTCCCTCGTATCCCGGCAAGGGGGACACCTTGCCCCCGGCAGCGGCAGTGCCCCACCAGCAACAGCAACAGCAGCAGCAGCAGCAATTGCCGAATGGCACCGGCAGCAGCCACTGCAACAGCAACAGCAACAGCAGCAGCACTTGCAACTCCGGCAACGCCATGATCCATGCGAATAACTCGAATTTAATTGCCGCAGGTCACTTGGCCCAGGCAGCCGGCCCCGCCCACAACGCCCCCTCCAGCGGCAGTGCACTCAACGCGGGTAAGTGTGAGGGGGATGGTGGGAGGGGGGCATCTGTATGTGAAAGGGGGATTGTGTACACGGGAAGAACAATATTTAACAAACAAACAACGAAATGGAGGGGGAAATGAAATATCCTTACCTTATTTTGAGATGGTTATCCCTGAAATGAATCTTAAGTGTTTTTATTATAAACAGTCCGTATTTTTAATAAAAAAAAAAATTCAAGCACTATTATTATTGTGCAATTTTTATCAGCTTTATCTTAACTTGAGATAGTTATTTAAAACATTAATCTTCATCATTTTTTCACAAATACGTCTTATAAAAATTTCCCTGCAGTAACTTTTAAAAGTTTTTTAATTAAAACCCTTTGCGCTTTAATTGGAATTAAGTAATTCAAAAATCTTTTGATTATTTTACTTTGAAAAAAATTGTACGTTGGTTATCAGTTGATAAGTTTAATTTTTTTGGATACATTTACAATTTACAATTAAATGGTTTTTATTAACATCTTTCAGTTATCATCATCAGCATCAATGTTAAATATTCAAGAAACAGTTAACATACAATTTACATTTATGTATTTGTTTGCTTTCAATAGTTTTTCATCTCTAAAACTTTGTACCATAAATACTCAATATCACATATAGAGGAAATTCGGGTGCATGCAATAACGCCCAGTGAAATAACGTCCTTGTTTAGTTTATTCATAATTATTCATAATTTGTTTTGTTTTTTATTCACTCACATGGCAGTAATTTACTGGAC